CCCCCCCCCACCCCCAACCAAAAAAAAACCCATGCATGTGCACACACAACCATAGCTATTCAGTCCCCAGTTTTATCAATCTTAATGCTGAAGGTCTGGTGTCAATTAAATAATTTGATACAGGAAATACAAATAAACCATAATCAAGTCCCACCTATTAGATAAGACAAGAATCGGTCATTGAAAATGATAAGGGAAAAACAATTCTAGCAGGTATTTTTTGAAAATGCAACTTATATAGGATCCAAGACATTAACAAAGTGCAAGTACAATGAAAAGTGTGAGCACAATGAAAAATATCTTAACTAAGATAAACGTTCACCCACCAAAACAAAAAAGAGGCCAGAAATTAAGAGGTTGATTCGGTTAACCAAATACTTTGTCAGTATCTTTATGTCATTTTAATTGATGTAGTAAAATAAGTTGTAACCTTCTCCCTCCCTACCCTCCCTCTTCTGCCCACGTAGATTATAAAACTGCAGATAACATCCAACCTCTGCCACCCTTTTAGCTGCAAAAAGTTCAGGTTTCAGCTTACTTATTAATAAGATATGAATACTTTTACAGTTTAAGGATACCATCACATACTCCGAGGACACAACAAGTCAATGTTATTACACTTCATTTTTACATGAAGGGTGTCAACTCTAAATCATGTTGATTCAAGCATAAATCAATTGTATCTTACCAATAGGCAATTTTCATACCGATTTTCACTGTCTGAGTGTGTATACACAATACACACTCACATTGCATGGAAACATGTATTAAATATATTTAAAGACACACCATGCGCGAATGCGTGCGTGTGTGGATGGATGCGTCTGTGGGCGTGTGTGGGTCTGTGTGTGGGTCTGTGTGTGTGTCATACTTGTATTTGCTTCCACGACAACAAAAACGTACCAGTATCCTTGACGAAGGATCTGATGTTGGGTACTTCTGAACTTGGGACACGTGAACAATATTACATCTCACAAGTATTCCTACTACAAGGCTAAAGCATAAATTCCTGCAAGGGAGCAAAGGTGGATCGAAATCAAGGAACTGTTCATAATTGCATGATTCAGATTTTTAATGTTTCATCTTGAAGAAACATATCCTTAGATAAAAAGGATGGGACTAGCACGAGTACTTATGAGTTATTTTAGTTATCTGTATGTTGTCGATCACCAGAACACTCCACATCTTTCGCCTTCCCCAATGTCAATGAACCAAAAGCTCTAACGCAGAATTACATAACTTCCCCTTATTTCAAAACTCATGAGCCTGCAAATTATCTCAATCTCATCATAAAAATTGCCATTCAGGGAGCTCAAAGGTAATTTGACCTCAAGAAATTTATTGATTATAATTTAGCACTGTCTAACTAATTATTTTATTTTTGAACCAACAACAACAATGAACCATCTTAATGAGAGTGACGCAGGGGTAATCAGCATAATAGGTAGCAAAGATGCATAGACAAAGCAGATAGTGGCATTTGTGCAGAATAAACGGAGGAAGGGTCGCAACACAATAACATGGAAGGTGGTGGTAAAGATGAATGAAAATAGAGAAGGTTCAGTTCGCCAGGGAGGGGGGAGCCACCTGGGGGTTGGTTTGAATGTGCAGGCTTGAAGGAAGAGGTGTAGTGATTCTGATTGTAGGTAAGGGTGGCAGTAGAAGTGACTAAGATGATAGGAGTCACCAAAGGAGGTGTATGAAGAAGAGAAAATAATGAGTTTATATCAATGAGATCCATTTACTGATTGTACTAACAAGTAATTGATTTCAGAACACTAGCCTACAATAACTGCTAACCTTTTTTCAAAGGGCAAATAGCAATTCAAACATTTTTTTTAATGGTGTTAAAGAACTGGAAGAAGTATAAACACCAGAAGAACTATAGCAAAGGACCTTAGAATTTTCTCCTTATCCAGTCTCAACCACCTCAGATGAAGTTTAATATAGCATAACAACGATCAGATTGTACAAAATGAATTCTAGGTCTCTCAAGAGATAGAGATACATGCCTAGATCCTATCAAGCTTTCTGTCAATCATCAATCATTAAAACTCAGTGGTAACTTCGTGGATTATGAGGATGAATAAGTATCCATTCTAGATCATTGCAAACATTAGCTCATCTGCATATCCTACTAACTATTTCAACCAAGTAGGCTGAGCAGACTCTTTAAGAAAAAAGCCAAAGAATCTTTGTTTATCATAGGAACATTCGTAAATTCATAAACCTCCTGCCAGAACCTCTTCAAACTAAAGCAATCAGTATTGAAGTTATTCTTGAAGCTGTATCACATAGGTGATAGAACCATGTGAAAGAAACTCCCAAATCGTATTTCTTTTTCCTCCCCAAAGGAAATGAAACCATGTACTTTCAGGAAGGAAAAAAAGGTTTCTTAAGAAGACAAATTAAAGTTATTTCAAGGCTCTAACTTTAAAATTATACAGGTTTCAAAAGAAGTAGGTAAGGGGTAGTAGGTAAGTGCTCTTTTGCACATAATTGTAATTGGCAATGCACCAGAGAAATCCTATACAGTGCTAGGCAGTCTTGCTGTGAATTTCAGAAGAGAGATGCAGTTGAATTAGGCATAGAACAAGAAATATGACAGATACCTGAGTGCTTCAACCAAGTGCTTAAGTTCAATAATCTCAAGCTGAGATGCTTTTACTGTATTCTCCAAAGCACCAGCCTGCATAAGAACACATCTAAAATATCTCAAACCTCTAGTCTCTTGACAAAGAATGGAACTTTGTAGATTTCATATGCAATTTAACATCAACTTCGATACTTACCAAGGTATAAACTTCATCCTCTCCCTCTGGCACACCACTTTTGCCATGTCCATTAAATCTCAAATCAATCCCAGCCTCCCTAAGCCCATCCTCTGCCACTTGTAACACCTCATTTGTCTTCGACTGCAATGCACTTCTCAGCAAAGTCCCAATGTGTTGCTTCTCCGCCAACAACCCATCAACCTTTTCCTTCAACCCATCAATTTCCCTTCTATTCTCCTCCATTCTGCCTCTCAGTTTATCCACAGCAATCTTTGCAGTCTCATAAACCGACACCGTCCCCTTCAATAATGTTTGCAAATTCTCATCCATATCCACCTCCTCCCAAACAAACAAAGAATCCAACAACTGATCCACCGCATCCCCATCAGCAATCCGAACTATCTCGTGAATTTGTTCATACACCTTCGAGACATTACTCAACTGATCAATAATGACAAGCCTCTGTGAATCCACCTTTGCCTCCAAATTCCTCAACTTGCCATCCTTCTCCTCCCCAAATTCCCTCAACTCTGACACCTTCCTCTCCATGTCAGAGATTTTTGCATCCCTCTCAGAGACCAATTTCTCCAATCTCTCAATATCTGCCCCATTCTTCAAAACCTCGTCCCTAAGCCCGTTTATAGTGGCCTCCAGCTGCGACACCTCAATGGCAATCTCGTAATTCCGCTGCTCGATCTGCTCCCTAGCCTGATCCCTAGATTTCGTCGCTCCATCAATATGCTTCATGAGCTCCTCCACGATCTCATTCGCCCTCTTGATCACCCCATATGCAACAGCCGGCCAGACCCGGCTAGCATCACTTCTGCGACCGAGCGCAGCCCGCGGCCCGGCGAAATTCTTGAACGCACTAACTTTTCCAGAGATCTTGTCGATCCCAGTCGCCATCATCTGCGCAGCCATCTCCATCTCCGATTTCAGACTATCCTTTTGCTTCAAGATCTCATCTTTATCCCTGATTGCATCCGCTAGCTGCTTCAAGATCTCGTCTTTTTCCTTGGTTGAATCAGCGAGCTTGGAATTGGCCTGGTCTTTGTCTCGTACGGCGTCGTCGCGCTTCTTGATGACGTCCTGGGCGAAGGCGCGGAGGCGGTTGATGGACTCGTCCCTGCGTTTTAGGGCATCGTCGGATTCTTGGCGAGCGCGGCGCTCTTCGTCGAGCTGGGAGAGGAGGTCACGTATTCGTTGTTGCTGTTCATCCGAGGAGGACGAGGAGATGGTGACGGGGACCGGGGAGGCGTCTTCGTCGTCGACGTCGCTGAGAACGGCGGCGGAGTCGTCGGCCATGGAATTGAGAGGAGAGTTGTTTCTTTTCCTCTGTCCCCTCTGTTGTTGGACTTTTGGGACTGAAAGAGATGCAGCTACATTATTTTTAATTTTTATTTTTTTGGGCCAGAAACAAGGGGTTAGGGCGTGCGGGGGGGCGCTCCGAGGTGCGTGCACACGCTCAGATAGGGCGTGGGTAGGCAAGCGGAGCAAGGATTTCAATTGAGGTTGCTTTGTTAATTTAGGGACACTGGGGCGGCGGCAGGAGCGCCAATTAACTACATAAAATTTACTGCAAATGCCAATTTGAAAAAATATATTTGTTGCATATTAATAACAATATATTTGTTTAAGAAAATATTAATTGTGTTTACTAAGAGCAACCTCAAGAGGTTTTAGTCTAAATTAATTCTTATCTAAATCCTGTCATTTATATACAGAAATTAAAAAATAGTGTTTAACGGATAAGGTTAATTGAAGAAGAGAGCTTAAAGTTAGATATGAGAAAATCTTTTTGCATTCAAATCAGCTCTCTACTTAAACAAGTGAAAAAGTAAATCATGTTAACACTTAAACAGATAAATAAGTAAATAAAAGAAAATAACATTGTACCAAGGTTGATTGATGCTCATTGTTCCCATAATATTATTGCATGTCTCTCAATATTGATTATTTTTATAAAAATATTTTATACTAATTCTTGAAGTACATGGTTAAAGTTTCTATTTTATGACATGTGCATTACGGTCATGCATATTTAGCTAGTTATTAAATTATTAAAACCTTAAAATTATGAACCCACTTTATCTTTTCCACCAATATCAACCTTTCATATTTTTTAATTCGTCCCTCAAATTATTGAAATTATTAGTAGGCTCTAATTCTCATAAGTCGTTTCAAATTAAACTTCCTAATTAATAGTTTTAATCTTGGTTGGAGAGACGGATTGCAAAAAAACCCTTGACAATTCAATGCGTTGATAGAAATTTTGATGATTTGAGAGACGACAATAACAACAACAACAATGAAGTCTTTATCCCAAATATTTTGGATTGGCTCAGGAATCCTATTAGTCCAATATGTTCTATTATGGGTCGTCTCTTTCGTTATGTTAATCATTATTGTTATGGTGTTCCCAATCACCTAAGTGCGGCCCTTTGTTAGCAACGGATATGTGTACATCTGCATGCAATGCTCCAATCACATTGGCGGCCGGAGACCAGTAAGGATGACAACTCAGCCGACTCGCCTAGTCGATATTCCCTCATGTCGACTAGAAAGGCGGTACTTATCGCCCCTTTTGTCGAAGACGACTCGCAACGAGCCCACTCGACCAACTACTTGACGCCTCATGAGGTCGACTCGAAAGGCGTTACTTCTCGACGAAGCTAGAGGACAATTTTAGCCTCGAGCCTCTCCCACTGACAACGTGTCAGTGTCGCATTTAAGGCTTGGCAGGCACCATCATACGAGCCTCTCCCACTGACAACGTGTCAGTGTCGCATTTAAGGCTTGGCAGGCACTATCATACCTCTAGCTCCGATAGTATTCATGACTCATCGGACCACGTCAACACCGCCATTCCTCCGATCACTTCCTATTTAATATCGAGGTGATCTCTCCTCCAGTCACCAGCTGACACCTGTAAAGCGAGTGCTGACGCAGCCGCTAGCCCACATTTCTTTACCACCATCCTGTGATCACCACAATGATGGTTATGCCCCTCCGGCACTACTATAAATATAAGGTACTATTCCATCATGAAGGGGATTCTGGTTTTTTGGCAAAATCAATGTCTTATATAAATTATATTGCACACACAAGAACTCTCATAGTTCTTTATTTTCCCCACTCAAGCTCACTAGCTGACTTGATCATCAGAGGAACCACGGGGGAACCAATCCCCGTCCTCTTATGTGTTTCTACATGTGCAGGCTTTTCAGCAACCCAACTCAGATTCGTATATGAGGGAAGGAAGCGGCCCCTCATCAACCTCACCCCTATCCTACCATGGATATTATTGACTGTGTGATCACTTGACATCAACAGTTTGGCGCCCACCGTAGGGCCCTGTTTTCTTTTTTAAGAAAACATGTTTGGTTCCGAATATAAGGCCGGCCAGTTTCACCCTGAACCACACCGAAGTTATAGTACTCAAGCTAAGCAGAGTTCGGGTTTGGCTGAGGGGAATCAACACAATCGTATTCCTCTACAAGATTAGCAATCATTTTGGGAGTATTTACCAGCTAGCCATCTATAGAATGGAGGAGTTCCCATCGCCCTCAAAGCTTCTTCAAGTTGAGATGAGCATCACGGATTTTTAGAGAGAACAACTCAAGCTCCTTGATTGCCAAATCCACAGTTCAAGAACTTAACTGGGGAGACTCCATTCAAGCTAGCTTATGGCACTGAAGTAGTCACTCCAGTCGAAGTAGGCATGCCGACCATCCGACTACAACATTTTGATGAGGACGTGAATTCGGTAGGGATTCAGATCGGGCTCGATCTCCAAGATGAGACCAGAGAGAAAACGCTCTGAACCCAGGTCACCAATCAACAACAAATTGCCCGCTACTATAACAGCAAGATCCGACCAAGGAGACTCTACACTGGCGACCTCGTCCTCCGCAAAGCTACTTTCGACAAAGACACCTGGAGAGGCAAGCTAGCCCCCAACTGGGAAGGCCCATACATAGTCCTAGAAGAGCTGTGATCAAGCATTTACCGACTAAGGGCCCCAGACGGGAGAGTCTTGCAACATCCCTAGAACATTATGTTCGTGGGGAAAATCGTTTTCATTGACGTCATTGTTTTCTTGTGCAACAGTTTATCGGTTACAAAAGATCCGGTCTTTTTATAAGATCCGGTTATAACAAAATCAAAGAAAAAAGAAAAATTACAACTTTCCTTTTCTAGAACAAATCACAAGATCCTGTTTTGCGGTCTCTTGCTTGTGTGGGTTCTTTGCCTGCGTCGGGGTTAATCCATGGACCACCGCGCGATCTTGATCCGGTCGGATCTACACGGTATGATGGGTGTTATTTCACAAAGGAAATAACAGCCGAGAGGATTATTTCACCAAGGAAATAATAGCCCTAAGTAATCGAAATCGACCAAGCGAAATCGATACTCTTCTCGGGATCAAAAACCAAGTTTTGATCCGGAGGATGACCGTGTGGATCTCAGATCTGATCTCTCTCGAACTCCTGCCTTATTTGACGTGGATGATCACCAAGAACCAGATCTGAAAAGTCCGAGTCTTCAAAGTTCCAAAACTCCGAAGTTCAGTTCTCAATCTGACAGAGTTTCACCTCAAAAGTTCCAAGTCCCCTCAAAAATTAGCCCTCCTTCTCTATTTATAGGCATTTCAATCCAGATCTGGGCCCAGATCTGGGTGGCTCGGCCACCGAGCCACCTTGGTGGCTCGCCGAGCACCACTTGGTGGCTCGGTTTTGGCCGAGCACCAAGTGGTGGCTCTGGTTTGGGTGAGCCACCAAGTGGTGGTTCGGCCACCGAGCCACCTAGAGGTGGCTCGGTTTTGGCCGAGCCCTCCCGGTGTTTGGTTTTGTGCCGTTTTCCGGTTTCGCGGTTTATCCGAACTTCATTATTGATCTGGACTCTGATTTGGCAGTCCGGATCCTGATTTGGTAGTAAATCCGCTTTGGTGTTGTGGTTTAATGATCATGCTTGGATATATCGCCCGATAGTTCGTTGGTTTGTCGAATCACCGTGTCAAGCTGTGTTAAGGGACCTATAAGCAGTTTTATACGCCTATAGATACCCCCTCCAAAGTATTTCAGCCTCATTCTTTTATAAAAGAGTCTGGAATACATTAGATATGATTGTCCCAACCTTCAGTCGGTGTAACGGGACCTTGGAATGGCTTCTGTTCTTGATTCTTTTAATCCTCCAGGCTATTCGGTGCTTTGTCGAATGTCTGCAAGGGTTCCGGTGCTGCATTTATTGTCTGACCGTTGTCGGAATTTTGAACTTGAAGTCAATTCTTGATTTTCTGATCTTTAGCTCGTCTTTGTTGTTTCAACATAGAACCGACCATCGATTGTTGGCGTTGAGTCTTCATTTGCAACGCGTTGTCCGGCGTTTGACATAGTTTATACTCGTACGTCTGCTGGAGTCTTGAGAAGCAGTTTATACTCTTATACTTTTCGGAGTGTTGTTGAGTTATCCTTAAGAATATTTTTAGAAAAATACTCTCCAGAAACTTCTCAACAAAAATAGGGAATAGTTTATACTCGTATACCTTATTGGAGTACTAAGAATGAGCTGAACCGGCCTGATAATGACCTAAAAAGGCAGTAATTAGGCTCAAAAAATCTTCCGGCCCTTCCGAATATATGGGAGAGGAATGAATAAATAAGGGACTGAACCGTTGGTCGATTTGAAGTCGTTTCGACACTCGGTTCAGCTCCAATTTGAATTTTGGTTCAAATCTGGTTTAAACTGGTTCAGAACTGGTTCAACCTAGTTCAAGTAGCAGTTCTATCAGGAAAGGGAGGCTAAATGGCTCTTCTCTTGAAGAAGCTGTGTCCGGGGAGGAAAGGCGGTAAGTAAGGCCGAAGGGCGAAAAACCCCAAAAAGTAATATTTGTCCGGACTGGTTTAGCCTGGTCTGGTCTGGTTCAACCTGGTCTGGTCCGGTTCAAGGATGGTTCAACACTATAAAAGAGCCTCTTTTTCTTCTCTTTAGAGCCGGCCCCCCTTCTCCCCTTTTTCGAAGTTTTCTTTTCCCTCGTGCATCTTTTCTCCTTCAAACCTTCAAATTTGTCTTAGATCTATCTTTCCTTTTGATCTTAGACTGAAAAATCCTTCAAAATCTCCATATATAAAGTTTCTCTCAGGCCCCTCGAGCACGTGGTTCGAGCCTCTTTCAAGATCTGATTTTTTTTATCGGATCCTCGAGCTTTTCCTCAGGTAAATCCTCCATAATTTTAGCATATTTCATGTTTAATTCAATATATCAATTTGTGGGATTGCATATGAGGGTTAGGGTTTGTGATTTGACACCTCGAGCTCATATTTCAGGGGGTAGAATTTAGAGATCTGAGGGGTTTAATTGTAATAAAGAGGGGCT